GTGTATATATATATATATATATATATATATATACACACACACACACACACACACACACACTCACACACACTATACAAAAATTCAAAGTAACAAGCCTACCTAACACATTTCAAATGCCTGCTTTTTGGAAGCTGAGAAGATTCTGATTTCAATTCCAGATTTCCTGAAAAACCACTGGTAGAAATATTTTTAGCATTATGAATCTTTGTACAGACACCTTCTTGCTCGTCAGTGTCTCCGAACAGATCAGGATCATCCTGAATAACATCAATCACAAGAACATCATCTTCATAAGCCTTAAGAATATCTGCACAAATGTTACCTTTGTCCTGTGCCAACTTATTGTTGAAATTAACTTTATCAATAGTTTCTGAGGCCAAAGTAGACTTTAGCATTTGCTTCTCTATATTTCCAGTACTCAAAGAGAAAGGAGTAGCTTTCAAAGCTGGTAATTCTAGTTTACTCTCATGGGAAGTTCTCTCAAATGTATTTCGAATACTTCTCTTTTTAAAGTTTTCAGGAATATCACTGAATTGATTTGTATATTTTTTCTGTACAGGAACAGAATTCATCTGTTCAGTTTGGACATGAGGGCTAGGATTTTCTTCAGATGAAGTCTCTTTAATTCTAGCTTTTTTTACAGAATTTTCTAAAATACTTGAAAGATTGCAAGTATCTTTTTCTGATGATCTTGCAATTTCTGGTTTTCTAAAATCACTTTTATCCTTAAGTAAAGGAATTTTGAAGTTTGACAGAGTTCCTGTCATTAAGGTTTTCAACACTGGTTCTTGTTTCGTATCTGATATTTTTGGATTATCTGTCTTCTTTTTCCTAGTGTCTGCAAATATGCCATTCTGAATATTTATATTTTTCTTTCCTTTGACTTCTCTCCCTAATGAATTCAAAATCACTTTTGATTTTACAAGTTTAGTAGTAGCATATGTGCTCTGTTTAGATTTTTCCATATGATCAGAAAATCTATTCTCAGTACCAGTAATAGCTGAGAGTGTCTTGCCTACATGCAACATGCAGTCTGAAAGTGGGCTTTCAACAGTACATTCTATTTTATGATGCACTATCTTATCTGCAGATATTTTACTACTATCTGCCAATAGTTTGTGGACCTCCAATTCCCTGCATTTAGTTACTGAATCAGTACCTCTTAAAGATTCTCTTTCTGAATCTAATGCATGATTTTTATGGACCCACAAAGATGTTCTTGCACATGATTCACGGGGCCAAATATTTTTACCATTAATTGGGACTGCCCTTTGACAGCTATATAGTTGCTGTTTGCTACCAGCTTTATTTACTTTTATTTCACATGTCCTTTTTCTTTTCTTGCAGGCAGCAGTATTACTATTACAGAACATATTTTTTTCACCATCCAATGCCTCCACTATGGATTTATTTTCGTCCATTTTACTGAGGTCAGTAAATGTCTCTATTTGCTTTAATTCATTCTTCTCTTTTTTGAGACCTGCCGATTTCTCAAAAATACTGGAACTGTATGTAATGAAGTGCTCTTGGTTTGCTGTTTCATTGCTAGACAAGTTGGCAACCTGATTTTGAGAAGGCTGCTGCAGACTTAATTCAGGTGTGTAATCAAGTAAAGATAAGTCACTTGTTTCACTATAGTTTAGTTTTTCCGAAATAACTGAAGAATCTATGGCAACAGTATTATCCTCTATTGGTATTCCATGTTCACTAGAAATATCCACATTTATGAGAACTTTCATGACTGCTGATTCTTCTAGGTCCTCTGGCATTTTTAGTCTTTTGCTTGGCTTTTTAAAATCTGTGGACAATTTATTTTCCCTGAATTGCTTCCCATTTTGACATTTTTTACTATATTGGCACATTTTTTTTGAAACCAAAATGTCTTTTTGTGGGAGTAACTTTACAGCATGTATAACATTAGGGCTACTATTCACATCATTCGGTCCCATACCCCTAGAAGACAGGGACTTTCCTTGATCAAGTGTAACATGCAGAGATCCACAATGAACCTTATAGCTTTGAGTAGACTTGATACCTGTAGATTCTAACAATGCCTTAACGTAATAGCAATCAAACAATTTTACTACTGGAATCTTTTTTATGTTGCAGGGCAGAACATTATGCATAGGAAGCCATCCAAATCTTTCACCTTGATACTCCACCAATGTGTTTTTTTCAATTTTCTTTTCAGCTACTTTTATGTCAAAATGTTCTGGACACTTATTATTTGTGACAGAAAAATTAGCATCACAATATATTTTTGTCTCCCTCCAAAAATAAGGGCTAATAGAATTGTTGCTTTTGATCTCATCTGACTCGGTTATTGGAAGACATGCAGACTGTTTTAATGGTGTCTCTATATTACAGTCCTTTAAAGTATTCACAATAGTATCTGTCAGCTTTCCATACCGTATACTTAAAATGTCAAGGGTATCCTCTCCTGATTAAAAAAAACAAATAATCATTAATATATTTAGTGTATTCTAGAGTACAAAGTAATACTTTACCATAAAAAAGATACATTTACAAATATGTATTCTAGAAAACACCATTAGAAACAGGAACTTATCTTGCATCGTCTAAGTTTATTCTAGGACCCATTCTAATTAGTATACCATTATGGTTATTATCATATATGTTTATCTAATAAAATAATTTAAAAACTAAAATAAACAAACAATTTTGCAAGCATGCACAAAATGGCAAGGCGTCTTGATAATGGAATGCTACATGAAGAAATTTCAATTCTAATGTAGCATTAATTTCACATACAGGTAGTCCTTGACTTACAACCACAACAGGGACTGGAAAAATTTGTCGTTAAGCAGTGCCGTCTTTAAGTGAGATTTGCAACCTTCCCTGCCAGCTTCCCCATTGACTTTGCTTGTTGGAAGCTGGCTGGGAAGGTCACAAATAGTGATCAAGTGACCGCAGGATGGGGCAACCATTGTAAATGCGCAAGGGTTGCCAAGCAACTGAATTGCGATCACACAAGCATGGGGACTCTGCAACAGTTTAAGCATGAGGACCAGTCATAAGTCATTTTTCAGCGCCATTGTAACTTTGAACAGTCACTAAATGAATGGTTGTAAGTTGAAGACTACCTGTAAAATAAAGCAGAATGCAAAAAAAAAATTGATACATTTAAGAGCACTTGTGATAATAAAAATAAATACTGAGTTTCAGTTCTAACCACACTCCTTTCAGGGGTAACTTTTTCAATCAAATAGCTTTCTTAAATAAAGTGGTACTGTTGCAACTCCTAAAAATCCCGTTGTAAATATTTAAAAATCTGGAAACAATGCATATTAAGCCATTTCACTACTTTAATTTTCAGAAAAGTGTTTATATTTTCCCAGCCAAAATATAAAAGAAACAGCTTAATGGCTCCATGCAAACTGCAAGCACAACAGCGTGCTCATACTTGATTTTTCATTCTGTATAAAGGATTAGTGTCCAGCTAGACAGAAGCCCCTACCTGATCTTGAATAGCTAAACAACATCAGACCTAATTACAGTAGTAGTTGGAGGGGAGACCATCATGAAATACCAGAGCTGCTGGCTAAACTGAGAATTAAAAAAAAAAAAAAATCCTTCCAAAATAGCAAATTATTCCCAACTTGTGAAGAAACAGCATGGACATGTCTATTAAATTACAAGGGATCAGCTCAACTTGAAGGAAACTTAGTTTCAAATGCTTGCTTTCAAACATGGAGCTTTGGCCAGCATCTCTTGGAGAAATTTCAAAACTGTAAAACGTTTTAGCCACAACTGCAAAGATACCTAACTTTATTTTTTTTTCTAGTTTCTACTATCCCAATTTTAAAAAGGCATTTTAAACAGTTTTTAAAATTAGATTCAAGTAGATAGTAGTACGGGGAAAAACAGAAATTCAACTCTAAAATCATAGAACAAATATTCAGATGAAACGGGAATAAGCATCCTTACTAGATGTTTTGATTTCTTTTTTAAGAACAGTTGAAGTCACAATTTCATCCTTTCCATCTGTCTCTTCCTTACTAGTTCCCTCTGTTTTGGTAACCAACAGCTCCTCTGTAGGTACACAATCCATTTGTTCTCTAGTCATTTTCTTCTCCAAGATCCACTGTCTACATCCCAGAATCTCTGTAACACTCTTTTCTGACTTCCAGCTTTGCTTTTCACCATCACTTGTACACATTTTTGATTTTGAAAACGCTCGTGTAACCATCCTATTTATTCCTATTACAGTACTTCTGCATTTTTTATTTTCCTCAAAGTTTACTACAGACTCCAATAAATGTTTGCTATTTTGATTTGAAGTTTTTACACCCTTCTGCGATTTTGAGACAGTCAGTTTCATAAAAGAGTTTTCTTTTTTTCTTTTTTGTTCCTGAGGTTTTACCAAACTCACCCTGGCATTTTTCATTAGATTTTCTGTTCCTTCTGTACATTTACTTGAAAGATGTGCCACAGCAGCTGACCTCACTCTGACTGGGTACTTTACATCTACCTGTGTTTTAGGGGAAGTAATTACTCTTTTTCTTTCTCTATGTTTTAATAGGCTTAAGTTCTGTATGGTAGATTCTAACTTAGGTATGCTTCTCTTTACTCTTTGACTTTTGTCCTGATTTTGTTCTGGCCAAACTGGTTTAATCCTCTCCCTAAAATTCCACATTTTCTGCTGTGGTCTTGATTCTGATGCTGAACAGCTATGACTTTTCTGCAGGTTCCCTGATACTTTGTCAGAGCCTAAACCTCTTATTACTGAAGCCCCATCCTTCTCAGTTAAAGTTTTCATTTCCTTGTGCAATCCTCTCATTATCAAGGAATGCTGGCAGTTTTTCTTCAATTTTTTTGTGTTCTTCGTGAAACTTTGGATTTTTTGTTCAGATTCTAATAAGGAACTAGCACATTTTTTTTCTGTGACAATGTCTCTTTGAGATCCCACTTCTAATGAAGAACTCTCACGCCTTCTCTTCCTACGCTCTGGTTGCAATGTATTTTGCAAAGCAACATCATGCTCCCTTTTCCTCATACTCTGTACCTCTTTCTTTGATCCTCCTTTTATCAAAACCTCCTCTTCCAATTTAATGTCTACAATGTAGTTATAGCCCACTGGCATTATGTCTGTTTCCCTGCAACTTCTCTTCTCCCTTCGGTCAGAGACAAAATTTTTGCTCCTCTGGTCCTTATCTTTTATGACTGTTTCAGAAGTAGGAGTGTATTGCTTACTTAAGGTACCAGGTTTTACTGGAAGCAGTAAAGAAAATGATTGCTCGCTGTCCCTAATCTCATCTTTTTTAGAGTCATCTACAACAGATACTGTCTGTCCAATTTGGGTTTCCATTCTACTTCTAGTAACAAACAAAATTAAACGTGTGGTTGCTTAATTTTCTAACCTTTCTAAATTAGTTTTAGGCAAGAGAACGGGCAAAATGTGTGTTGGTAAAACCTCCCAAACAAATGAGCTTTTCCTGCAGGTGTGGGTCAGGAAGCCAACTGTGAGCTTCCTAGAAACTCACATTCAACTATGGCTCACCAGATCTACAGACATAAACTCCTCCTTGCTCAACATAATTACAATATAAAAATTCCTACCGGTCTTGTTTCCAAACAAGCTCAACCTTAATTGTTTTAAATCATTTTTGTAAAAAAAGGGAAGAACCACTGAAAGACTTAGTGTTAGCAAGCCATTCAAGTAAAGCTACTGTACATTAATTCCAGATTTTTCTTCTCCACGGATGCTATAACTGAAATGGGAAAATGAGGGTAGGAAGAGATAAATAAAGCTTGTCCTTAAGAGGCTGCCTGCTTCTATCCTCTAAGTTTTGAAATACTGAAGGCTTTAATGCAACTGGGAGGAAGACCGTCCAGATGTTGAAAACTAGCCCGCGTTTGCACAGATTCTTCTTCAAAAGAAAGCGGAGACGCCACCTCTCTACCACCTACGCAGATTCTTCATTTCGCAACTTTTGCTGCACCGCACCGGCAATAAATCCGAGGAGCATTATTCGAATTAAACCGAACAACGAAAATGCAAAAGCTGTACTGGGAAGACCCCCAACCACAGGCAGCCTTCTTCCTCCCTAAAACTCCGTTACCTCGTACAAACCCGGCCAGGCAGCCCTAACTATACCTCCCTCCCGCTCCAGGCCCACCCAAGGACGCCGCAGCCGCCACCTCCACGCCTGCCTTCGCACGCTCTCTCTCGGAAAGGGGCGGACCCGGCTTCTCGCAGGGAGTAAATAAGCGGCGAGACGCGGCGGGAGGAGGTTGCACGCAGGCGCTTCAGGAGGGAAGGAGTAAAGCGGGGAGGAGAATGAGTAGTTGTTTCAGTCACACGGGGGTTTGGGTGCCAGGGAAAGAGAGCGCGAGGGGGGGGGGCGTTAGTTAGGCTACCCTTCCTTGGAGGGTTTGTTGAATGTTGAAAACTTTGCTTTGCCTACTGTGACATTCAAGAGAGCGAACAGAAAACGTTTCGCCGCCTTCTCCCGCTCTTTTAGCAAAGATGGGACTTTGGTTCTCTGACAGCAGCCACGAACAGAGGGACGCGGGATTTGCGTGAGGAGCGGCCTCGCACGTAAAATGGCGCGCGGGGATTTCGGCGCGTTCAGCTTCCTTCCTCGTCTCCGCGCCGCTCTGGTCCTGGCGTCGAGCTGTGCCTACAAAGAAAAAAGGAGGGGGGTGTCTGTCAATAAGCCCCTTCTTTGTTTTGCTGCCCGTTTCTTTTTGAAGGACTAGGGCGGCCCTGGTCTCTTAGGGGGCGGGGTTTATTCAGTGGGGCGAGAAGCCTGTGCGTGTTTTTAGACCTCGCGAGTGAGGGAACAAGGCCTGAGCTCAGGTTCAGCAGTACAGTGTAGTCCCGGGGTTAAGAATGCCCGGTTATATGTCCCATAGTTAAGAATGGAGCCTATTATGGCAAAACTCGAATTAAATACACAATGATTTGACTTAAAGACATAATGGTTCGAGTTCATTGCATAATTCTACTTATACAGTATTATACAATAATACCGTTTAGGCCTACAGGCGTACAAATTCAACTTAAGGACAGACCTTAAGAACAGAACTCAACTCACCTACCGTAGTCCATGCTAGAGTACTGACAATTTCGACTCCCATCATCCCCCAAGATAATTGCTCATTGCAAGGGATCATGGGAGCTGAAGTTCAGAGCTGGAGGGTACAGTACAAATCACCCAGGTAGCCACCCATGTGGCTAGTTTTCAATGCTAGAGCCCCTCACGGAGCCTGAAGTTCTGGATTAATGTAAATGCATCACTACTTCCCAGCTTGGACGTTAATAATGCATTCAGCATACAATTTTATTGCCGTAGGAGTTCTCGGAGTGATTTTGGGCCATTTTCACCCCAGTGGACCTCACAGGGTTGTTCTGGGAAAAATATGTAGAATGGCATGCTCTATATGCCACCCAGACTCATTGCTATGAGATAGATGGCCATATACATTTTTCATAACAAATGCTACATTGAGCTCCTGGATGAAAGGTGGAATATAATTCTAATAAATAAGGTTAACTGAACTATATTCAGTTCATTGTCCTGGATGATGGCCTTTGTCTATGATGAATCAAATATCTGTATGTATCACTGAAGGCTCTTGAGTACTCCTGGTATTTATGAGGAAGGGAGAGGAGAACTATCCCTTTTGTCCATGTTATGCATAATTAACTGTTTACCCCCATCCCTGAGCTGTAAAGCAGCCTCCTACTTTATTAAAAAAAAAAAAAAGACAAATGGCACAACATCTGTTAAAATTATATCCTGTATTTCCGTAACAAAGCATGGTTATCTGAGCAGATAAAGCAGCAGATGTGTCTTTGTCTCTGTGTGCATGTGCGTGTTATGTATGTATGTGTATGTATACAGTATATCTACCCATCCATCCATCCATCAATAAACCTTTTTTAATGCCTTCAGAGTTGAGTGGTTAGTGTACAGTAAGGATGTAACTGCTTTTAAATAAGTAAAAACTTAGGCAAGGATTTGTAGTGTCAATGGACATTAAGATAAGCACAATATAGCTGTAACCAACATACATTGTATTTCCAATTTATGAGGCAGATATTTGTTTCCTGATACTTTCCTAAATATATTTTGTTTTTATTCCAGGGACAGGAATAGCAGAAGGAACTATACATAAATGCAAAGTACTCAGTGATCCTGTAATCCTTCAAGGATCTTGTCTGCGTTAAGTTAGCTTTCTTTGAGGGATTTCATTATTTCCCTGGGTCTGCCACTAGATGGTGCTGCATAGGTGTGTCATTTAGAAATAAAGTTAACGAACTTCATTGTAATTACTACAAAATTTGAAGGAAATAAGAATGAGCTGTGGAAACTAATGAACCTTAATAAAATGCCGAGGCAGTCCTGAAGGCAATCTGATGGTTACGTATTCATATATAGCTTTTGCTTATTTATATTTGTTATTGATATGACTATTGAAAATATATATAAAGTCTTCTCTATTATTTGTATTTTTATTAAATTTATATCCTATCTTTCCATTAAAATGATAATGTTCAAAGTGGCTAACAACACACATCACTACAAACCCTAATCCTAATAACAAATCACTTAAAAATTAATAATACCCAAAGTATAAAGTGTACTTCAGAGAGTATCTTTCGTTGTAAGCTATAAATTTGATTAAATAAATATGTCTTTGCCTGCCGAAGTAAAGACAATAAAATTTAAATTAGCTTGGTTTTACTAGGTGAATGGTTTCTAGAACCTGAGCCCACCTTAGAAGGTTTCCCCCCCGCCCCACATTCCTGACAAACGTGCCTCTCATGATGTTGGACAAACAAGCATGCAGGCTTATGGGGGAATTTCAGATAACCTAATAAAATAATTCCAATTATTCCCTGAAATGGAGGATAACCAGTGGAGCTGTTGTAACAGTGCTCCATGTGGTTTGGCTCTTGTGTTCTCAATTACTTGAAGATTCCACACACTTCAAACCAGCCCATGCAGAGCAAATTAAGTAGTTCAAACAGAACATAACTAACACATGTCTTTGCAGCTAGATCCCCCTAGATATCTGTAAAAATGGGTGCAAATAGTACACTAGCTTTAGCTGGAGATAGTAATTCCTAATCAGCAACAAAACCTAAATTTTCAGGTCCTGGACTGAAACCAAAAATATAGCAAAACTGAGTCTTCAAGAGAAGAGTAACTTATGTTCCATAATCTTCATTTTGACTTCACATTTGTCTTGTCTCTATTAAACTATCCCATAAGCAAAACTGAAACCAGATCTTGCTGATTTGAAGGTGCAATTTCACCACCTTGTCCAAGAATAAAATATTGAAGACTGACTGGAAATTATCCAATGTGATAAAACATTCATTTCATTGATGTTTACTTTAGACATGATGAAATAGTATCCTCTTATTAAAAGGCACCTGCCAGCTCCTTACTGACTCAAACAATCTAGCTCTCTATGAGCAAGGTAGACCTCATCTCTTTTCAAAACATGCAACTCCAGTAAGTATGCAATAGTCCAACACCTCATTCCATCCATCAGGGAAACAAGTATAGATAGAATGGTTGAAAGTAAGACTCTCTAACCATGGCACAAATGTGCTCTGCAACATTTTTTCTCTGCCCTGCCTGGTAATACTGTCTTCATTTCATCCCCAGCCTATGAATGAGACAGCCTTACGTCACCCTTAGCTGCACTTGTGTAAAATTGTGTTTTTCTCTTTGTCACCTGTATTTTAAAAAATGCTGTACAGATAGGTCATGGTTAATGTGAGTTCAAAGAGTGCAATATTCAAATTAGTGTGAATTATACATTGATATCAGGTTGCATTTAATGCAAGCCAAAATTCAGTTAATGTGAGGCTAGCATGCATGCAGTTGAGGTTAGCACATGAACAGTTGCCATGGGGTTTTAGATGCTAATCGTGTACAAAGTGGAAAAAAGAAAGGTTCCATTTGAGGAAAGCTCAAAAAAGAAGAGGCTCATTTTGAAGAACTACAGATAGTCCTTGGGTTACAAACATTCATTCAGCAACTGTTCAAAGTTATGACGGTGCTGAACGAGAGGGACTTACGCCGGGTCCTTGGAGTTCCAGTCATCGCATTGTCCCTGAGGTCCATGCTCGGCACCTGGCTCACAATTACAACGTCGCAGCAAGCCGTGGTCACATGATTGTGATTTCTGATATTCCCTGCGAGCTTCCCACAACTAAAGTCAAGGGGGAAGCTGGCAGGAAGTCAGAAGTCGCAATCATGTGAGATCCTTGCTTAATGACCCACACAGTCCTCATTTAATGATGGCAACCAGGACTGACAGAATTGTTGTCACTAAGCAATGTGGTCATATGACATAGCGTTTTACAACCATGTCACTTAGTGACAGAATTCCTG